GGGACAGGTGTGTCAGAGATGGTGAGATTGGCACAGGATAGGGCAGAGTTTAGGGCTGTTGTACATAGGGTCACGGTCACTATGAGTCGCAGGCGACTCAATGGCACATAACAACAACAAAGAAGGAATGCCTGTTAATACCACAAAATTATGCACCAACAACCAGAGCCAAAGAGAAAGATATCATTTACTTCTATCAACTGTTGCAATCGGAAAGCCATCAAACGAGGAAGCCAAGATACATTAGTAATAATGAGTGACTGGAATGCAAAAGTAGGAACACAGAAAGAAGGATGGGTAATCAGAAACCATGGACTTTGTGACAGAAATCAGGCTGAAGACAGAATGATAGAATTCTGTACAATCAAAGATTTATTCAGTGCAAACAACATTTATAAGAAGTAAAAATGATAACTATGCACATGGACCTCTCACCTGATGACCCACACATGGATAAGATGCAGTACATATGTGGGGAAAATCGTTGGAGAAGGTCAATATTGGCTGTGAAAACTATGCCAAGTGCTGATTGTGGATAAGATCATCAACTATTTGTATTCATGAAGCTAAAGAAAATAAAATCAAATTCTTAAGAGCTGAAGTTTGACCTTGAGTCTCTCCTTTCTGAATTTAAAGACCATCTCAGGAAGAGGTTTGAGGCCATGGATACTAATGAGTGAAGACCGGATGAGCTGTGGGAACATATAAAAAATATTATCCACAAAGAATGCAGAAAGCCGTTATAAAGATAGAGAAAGAGGAAAAGGCCAAAATTGATATCAGAAGAGACTCTGAATATTGCAGTAGAGCTCCGAGAAGCCAAAGCAAAAGGAAGAAATCAAGATATTAAGGAGGTGAACAGATGATTGCAAAGGACAGCATGGGAAGACAAAGCATATAATAATGAAATATGCAGAGTACTGGAGTCAGAAAATCAAAAGGGCTGAAGTCATTCTGCATTTCTTAAGTTGAAGGAACTGAAAAACAAATTCAAGCCTAAAGTTGTAATACTTAAGGATGCTGGAGGCAAAAATGTTAACTGATCCAGGAACGTTAAAATAAGATGGAAGAGGGAGCTCTGACAGCCTGTTGGCAAGAAGTTGCACTGCCATCCCAAAAAGAAGGTGGAAGGAATACACAGAGTGACTATACCAAAAAGAATTGGTTGACACAGAAGAATTTTCATGAAACGACATAAAGGAGGAAGTTCAAGCTGCTCTGAAAGAATTAGCAAAAAACAAGGCCCCAGGAATTGGTGGCATGCCAATTGACATATTTCAACAAGTAGACACTGCCCTGGATGTGCTCA